CTCCTTTTACTTTTATTAGTTTTTATTTCATGATGAAGTTACTCTGAGGCCATAAGTTTTTGTTTCTTCAGTTTCTTCTGGGATATCGTTTTCTTCTGTGCAGCTTCCTCTTCTGGTTTAGGAACCACCTGCTCTTCCTCATGAAGGATCCTCTCAGTGTAGAAGGGAGTGCTCCTATGGGGTAACCCACCCAGGAGCTCTGTAAGTTCTGCGTTGCATCTTGGGAGCTTTATTCACCTGGATGTACTCAATGACCAGAAAGTCTGCCTCTAAACCCTTAAGCTCAGCATTGCTCTCTGCATTTTTAAGCACGTGCAGCAAAAATTCAGCACATTTTTTGGGCCACGATCCTGTGTCCAGTCCCACTGTTTGGCCTGGGCAAACCTACTGACTCAGCCATTGTAACGACGGAATGGCATGCTCTGCTTCTTTAAAGTGACATCCTTCAGATGCTTGGTGACTTTTCAAATATGCATACCCTTGATGGCCTGAATTTCATGTGTGCTCTTAAAGTGAACACGAAGATTTGAACCTCTTGATTTGCATGATTATGTGTAGTTTTCTGGGTCAAGTGAATAGCAAACCATTTTCAGAGGTCACCTCTGGCTGCTTTAGGGAAGAGCTCTCTCTTTTTTAAGGAGTTAAAGGAAACATTTATGGTGTGCTTACAATGTACCATGTTTTCTTTCTTTGTTAGATTTATTATGGTAACATTAAACTGGATAACATAAGTTTCAGGCATGGATTTCTATGATATAAGATCTGTATATTGCATTGTGGGCCAACCACACAAAGTCAAATCTTATTATGTCACCATATATTAGGTCCTTTCCACCCTTCACACCCTTCCTCTGACAAGCACCACACTGCTGTTTGTGTCCATGAGTTTCAGTTTTATATCTCACATTAGAGGCCCAGTGCACAAAAATCATGCACAGGTAAGGCATCTAGGCCTGGCCAGCTAGCAGGGCCGATCTCTGGGATAACTGGCAGGGCAATCGGAGGACCCCTGCTTACTCCCACCTTGGTTGGCCTGGGGCCTGTGGGCTGGGCGCAGCTCCTGAATTGAGCATCTGCCCCATCATAGTGACCAGTTGTTCCATCGTTGGTCAATTTGTATATTAGGCTTTTATTATATAGGATGAGTGAAACCATATGGTTTTTAGCTTTTTCTAGCTGACTTATTTCACTCAGCATACTATTCTCAAGGTCCATCCATGTTGCTGCAAATGGCAGTATTTCATCCTTTTTATGGTTGAGTTGTATTTGATTATGTATATGTACCACATCTTCTTTATCCAGTCTATCGCAGGACACCTTGGTTGTCTCTGTGTATTGGCCACCGTGAATATGCTGCAATAAACATAGGGATGCATATGTCCTTGCAAATTCATGTTTTTGGGTTTTTCAGGTAGATACCCAGGAGAGAGATTGCTGAGTCATAGGGTAACTTTATTCTTACTTTTTTGAGGAATCACCAGACTGATTGCTATGGTGGCTGTAACAGTCCACATTCCCACCAGCAGTGAATGAGGTGAACATGTTTCCCGTAATGGACATTGTATGAGTGAATACAATTAACTTACCTATAATGGTTTTCTTTTCTGTCTCAATAATATTATTCCCAGAATAGAATTGTTCCCAGAATAGAATGAGCCCATTTCTGAAACTACTCAAGTAAGGTTCTGAATTATAAAATATTTACATAGCTTAGTCATACATTCACCTTTTTAAAGGATGCAGCCCTAACATGACTCACATTTATCTTGCCTGCATTTTTCAATTGCTTTTGTATATGGGGAATTCTTGTTTTATTTACTAGCTCTCACCATCCACTGCCTTCAGTTGTCATACCTGGAAGAAGGAATACATCTTTGTATTATTTTGTTCAGATTTTGTCACTGGCTTAACTATGGACAACTGCTGACCAAAGGTACAGATCCCTGGATAGACAGTAGTTATGTTGGACAAGAGAATTCAGGTTCCCAAATTCTGGGAAAATAGGACTCCTAGGCAAAACTAAGGATGAAAGCAAAAATGCAAAACAATAGTAATAAAAATTTCAGTACAAGGTACAAAATGAGGAAGGTGACAGTAAAGGTGAAAAAGCTTTGAGCTCATTATATCACTGTTGCCTTTGGGCTTTAAAAAAAAATTCTTAAATCTCACTCTTCATCTACAAAATAGGAATAATTCATTAAAAAATGTATTAGGTATTAGAAATATGTATTCTAAGAACTGCGGACACAGTAGTGAACAATACAAAGGACCTCTCCTCACTGGGCTTACATTCTGGGAGAGGCAATAACATGTAGCTAGTGATGTATGCACTCAACAAAGCACTTACAATAGTACCTGGCATTTCAATAGCCAAAAGGTGGAAACAACCCAACTGTCCATCCACTGATAAATGGATAAAAATGTAGTAGTACCATACAATGGAATATTATTCAGGTGTAAGAAGGAATACAGCACAGACACATGTTGTAACATGGATGAATCTTGAGGACATTATGCTAAGTAAAACAGACACAAAAGTTCACATCTTATCTGATTCTTTATAATGAATGTCCAGAACAGGCAAATCCATAGAAACAGAAATCAGATTAGTGGTTGCCAAGGGCTGGGAATAGAAGATGGGTAGTGATATCTCAAAGGGTATGGGGTTTTCTTTGGGGATGAAAATGTCCTAAAATAGTGGGGATCTTACACAATATTGTGAATGCATTAAATGTCATTAATGGTTCATTTTGATATATATATTTTTTTACCTGGCTAATATAAATAGTACCTGGCACTCAATGTTATTATTTTATAGCAAAACAAAATTGCTCAAGCCCTTGACCAGTGTGGCTCAATTGGGTGAGCATCATCCTATAGACCTAAAGATTGTGGATTTGGGACACAGACAATAGGGTGCTCAAGGCCTGGGGTGGGAATGAGGGGAAAAGGGAGACAAATATAATACTTTGAACAATAAAGAATTATAAAAAAATAAAAACATTAAAAAAAAAAAAGTCATGGATTCAATTCCTAGTCAGGGCATGCACCCACTAGATTGCAGATTAGTTCCCAGCTGTCATGCGTGTGGGAGGCAATTGATCAATGTTTGTCTTGAGTGGATGTTTCTCTCTCTCTCTATCCCTTCCTCCCTCTACAAATCAATAAAAGCACGTCCTACGAAATATTTCTTTTTTAAATCGCCCAAATAGGAAATTACTAGGTTAATAAATTTTTAAATTTTTAAATTACTAAAATGTTATAAAGCCTTTGAAGAGAATGAACATGATCTAGATGTACAAATATGGAAAGATGTCTAAGATGTAGCTAATAAAATAAATAAATAAATAAATAAAAAGCTAAAGATCAGTATATACTTGGTATGATTTGTTAATACACATGCACATGCCCTAACCGCTTTGCCAGAACATCAGCCTGCAGACTGAAGGGTCCCAGGTTCGATTCCAGTCAAGAACATGTACCTTGGTTGAGGGAACCTCCCCAGTAGAGGGCATGCAGGAGGCAGTTGATCAATGTTTCTCTTTCATAGATGTTTCTAATTCTCTAACCCTCTCCCTTCTTCTCTGTAAAAAATCAATAAAGTAAAATTTAAAAAATAAATAAAATACACATACACAGCTCCACCATCATAGTTGAGTGGTTGAGTGACCTATTAACCAGGTCACAGTTCAATTCTTGGTCAGGGCACATGCCCTGTAGGGGGAGCAGTTATAGGGTTAAGCCTGGGACTGATCTGATGGCAAAGCTGCAAACAAGTCCCAGCTTGGAGGGCACAGCCCTCTAAGCATAATTAAACTTGATCTTGCAACTGCTCCCTAGGTCTTTCCTGGGAAGCTAATGGGCTGTGGGAGGTGCAGCAAGTGCTGCCAAAACAAGCGAAACTTATAAGAACACTGTAAATTACCTTGTTTACCTCTGACTATAAAATAAAGCATTAGCTTTGCAGTCTGAATCTGTTCTGTGGCCTCAGGAAGGCACATAAGATCCACCTAGACCCAGCTTATTCTCTTTGTCTGTCTTTTCTTCATCCTTCACCAGCCCCTCCTCAGGCTCACTGAACCCTTGGCTGTGCTGGCGCGGCACAATGCCCGAGTTGCGGGCACAATCCTCAGTGTGGGGCATGCAGGAGGCAGCCAATCAATGATTTCCCCTCATCATTAATGTCTCTATATCTGTCTTCCTCATCCTTCCTCTGAGATCAATAAAAATATATTTAAAAAAATACACAAGCACACACACGTTTATATATGCCTAGGAAACAACGGGATGTGAAGAAATATGAAAATAGCGGTTACTTCTGAGGTGAATAGACTAGTCCTGGGTGGGGATTCTTTTGGTACACATTTTGAAGTTTTTAGGTGAGCTTAGAGTTCAAGGAGTGACATAGCAGTCAAAAAAGCATTAATATGGCATTGTAAGAAATACAGAATCTTGAACGAGGAAGGTCATTATCAAAATTGAGAAAGAAAATGTATTGCTTTCATATACCTTATAGAACTTGACTTGTCACATTCTGAGTGTAAAAATCCTTTAATACCTGAGAGTGGTCTCTGCAGGTGGTCAGAGACTTAGCAGGTTCTTGTGCTTCCCAAAGTGGGGAGTACACCACAAGAAGATATTTGTTCAGTGTTCCTGAGGTCCCAAATAGCCCAGCGGGTGTGGCTCAGTGGTTGAGTGTTGACTCTTGAACCAGGAGGTCATGGTTCAATTCCCAGTCATGACACATGCCTGAGTCATAGGCTCGATCCCTAATGTGGAACGTGCAGGAGGCAGCTGATCAATAATTCTCTCTCATCATTGAAGTTTCTATTTCTCCCTCCCTTCCTCTAAAAAATAAAAAAAAATTTTTTTAAGGGTAAGGTATATAGTATCTTAAGCTTTTGTGCAAACTTTCCCCTTAACTTCTTAAAGCATGTCTTTAAGAATGAGATTAATATAGAAGCTTCAGACCATTGTAAGAAAATCCAGCCACAAATCTCAACTCTTAAAAAAAAAAAAAAATCATTTTATTGATCCGTTACCATACAAAATTTATTCAAATTACACCCATTTGAAGTGGTAAGATCACAGCTAGAGAACAGGTTACCCTGTAACAAATCTATTTACAAAATCCATCATAAAAGCTTTTTTTTTTTTTTTTTTTTTTTTTTTTTCATTATATTACACATTTTCTTTTTTTTTAAACTAGCATACAACACAAAGCTAAATTGATTAGTAGTTTGCCTTCTCCCAATCTTGGGAGAAATATTTCCCTTTGACAAAATCACGTACCCCACAGGAAAAGAAATTCCCACACTCTGACCATTGCCACCTGACTGACTCTACAAGGCATCTTCCCTCAGACCTCTCACACACACGAGTTGCCATGCACACGCCGAGTTCTTTCTTCTTTTTTCCTGACAGCTAAAGCTTTAAATACTGCAATTCTATTTACAGATCTACACTTGAAACAAAAATGAAAACAAGAACCACAACAAAAAACAACAAAATATAACACTCTTAAAAAATTACAAACCAGCTAGAAAACATTCTGGCAGTGTTTACAAATTAATTGCTATCTTTGTACAAAATTGCTAGATAATGAAAATGTGAGTAGACTACATATCAACTTAAATAAAACAATTGCTATGCACAAGTCTGTACATATAAACACACACCTTAACACTGTTTGACAGCTCATGTGTTGCCCTTTATACAGTTTATTTTCTAAGGCTCACGCAGTCATAATTCGCACACTTGTAACTTTTAGCCATTTCATGTGTGAGCTTTAATAGCAGCAACTCAATGGTACCAGGAAACCGGCATACTCTGACTTAAAGTAACACAAATACTGGAGAATTAACCCACTTTGTGTGCCGGATACTATGTTTAAAAAAAAAAAAAAGACGAATGCAAACAGAACGAAGTATGGACATTTCATTAATGTACCCCAGTTAAGCCCATTAACTGGAGAAATCTTATGCACGAAGGAACTTTTAAGACTTATTAGTATTCCTTTCATTCTAAAACAATAAATACGGCATTACATTACGAAAAGTTTAAGGAGAAATTCAACAAAACACATAACAACCTAGCCAGGTGAGCTCAGTCGTTAGACTTTGGGAAAAAAATGAGCTTTGTGCAGCTGGCAGAGAATTACACAAAGCTGGAAGCAGAGGCAGCTAACCAGATGAGATAAATATGGGAAACGGGGGAAAAGCTTGGCATAAATGGTTTCCTATACAGGAAAACACCCCACAGTGCATTTCCAGTAGGCACTTGACACAAAGCTCCCCTCCCCTCCCCTATCCCAAAGCTTCATCTCGGACCACATATTTGTACCAAGTCCAGTGTGTGAGGGGAGGAGGCTGGGGATGGAGGCTGAAGAAAAAGGAGGGTAATCTGCACCTTTTGTTTTTCTTCCCAAACACACGTCCACGCATACCTACACAAATCGTTTAAAGTGCTGGTGTCATGGTTTTGACCCCCACCACCACTTTGCATATTGTGGAAATCTACCTAGAATAAACTGGCTGGGGTGTTGGTGGTTGACCGTTTTGTGTTTTTCCTAAGGGATATTTTCAGTTCGATTACACACGTGAATAGAGTGCCTACTATGTGCCTACCAGTGGGCCAGACACACGGCACTTCAGTTTCTCTGTTCCTGCTGAGGTTGTTTTTTGTTTGTTTTTAAAATAAGACTCCCTCATCCCCACAGTCTTTAGCATCCAAGGAATGGGTATGAGGTACTAAGTCCCATTCCCGGTGGGAAATGGCCACCTCCCCGGGGCCAATGGGAAAGCCGCTCTTGGACATAACTGGTAAGATTTGCAGCTGACACAAAGCTTCCAACCCGGGACACCATTCCTGAAGAGTCGAGTGGGCAAACACCCCGGCATTCTATCGCTTTATTTTCTACACCTACACTTCCCTTGGTCCAACTTACTCCTTCATCGAGGAAGGGGGACGGACGGGTTGTGGCCAGGGGTATTGCAACCCCACCCCGCACAGTGGGAGCTCCCTGGTCTCACCGACCGGAGCCAATGCCGCCGGCAGAATGCCACTCACACAAAGGGTTGTCTGTGTCCCTGGGAGCCTCTCCATCTGACCGCATCCTGAGAAGTGGCCTCCCTGAGTGCAGTGGTAAGAGAGCCCTTTCCCCGGTCACGGGGCCACGGGGAGCCCAAGGACAGAGGGACCCACACCTGCTGCTCCTTGGGGCTGCTATGTCATCTGACCTGGTTCTCCTTTCCAAGGGGCCAGTGCTCCCGCAGAGGCTGTTAGACCTTAGGTCACACTCATTTCGATGCTCTGATCAGAGAGGTTCTCTATCTCTGCTTAAATAATTCGAATTCGCAAAAACCGCTTCAAAGTAAACAGTTACAAACTGTAATGGTGATGGGTGCCACAGGAATGCTTAAATGGCAGCTAAAAAGTAAAAATAAAAAATAAAAAGTCTAAAACAATCCACAAAGAACTCCTCAGTAGGCAATTGCTACAAATCAACTTTAAACTCACAAACATGTTGGGGGCAGGAGAGTGGGAGTGGTTAATGGAGACAGGAAAATCCACAACAGCTTACAGTGGCAGATCTCAACTATTCTTCTGTATCTGCAACAAGTATTCGAAAACAGGTTCTTCATCCGCAAGGCTGTGGAGGTTCTCTTGACCTCCACGTTGGACCCATGGCCCATAGCTTACACTGAATTATGACAGTAATTTAAATATTCCTAAGAAGAGCTGAAGACATCCGTTTCATACTTTTGCATGACTTCAAGTTTACAGTTCCTGCAGTTCCATTCCATATTAGCAGACCCCAAAGACATGCATTCTGCAGAGAAGGCACGGCTTGAAATGCTATTAAGGAAGATTGCTGTATTCCAGTGGCCCAGGTGGCCAGACCCCGTCCTACAGCCCATCCGTCAGGCACAGCAAGCCAATCCGGGAGGGAGGGAGGAGGAAAAGTATGGGCGAGAGACACCTGATTGCACATTTTCTCACTTGCTGACTCATCCAGGAGATTTTGGAGCCTGGGGCAAAGCAGGGTTTTCCCAAGGGAGCCTGCAACTGTGCGTTTAGACAATTTCTATATAGATATATAAAAAATTCGTTAAAATGTCAGCTTTGTTCTGAAGTTTGTCGTTTACTTCATGATACTATCTCGGAGGAAGAAGGTAGGAAGGGACAACACTGCATGACAGATGTTCTGGTTCCATAATAAAAAAATATCGGTTTGTAAGGAGTTCACAAAGCATAATCAACTACACATGAAGTCTTCCACCAGCGGGAGCTTTTCCAGATCGTAAGCATCAAAGAGATCGCTGATGCCCTCTTCCTCCCCGAGGCTTAGGAGATAGTCTTCTTGGAGCAGGGGAGGCAGTAAGTTCACAAATGGTCCTTCAAGGTTGGAAGGAATTTGGTCCTCAGTCTGCTGTAAGAGGTTGGCTGGGGAGGCCAGAGGAGAAAGGTTTGCCATAGAAACTGAGCAATCACTATGTCCTGAGTTGGTTGAAGCCAAGTCTGAAAGGGGAAAAATGGGTGGAAACACAAAAGTGAGTTAGGATATAAAGTTGCTGTTCTGAAAGCTTTCACCCCCTGCTAATGACAATCAGGCAGCATTATGATACAGATCACCTGTGGGCAGTCTCTAGTCGCTCACTCATCTTTTAAAGTACCTACTGTTGGCAAACAAGGCTTTAATTAGCTCCGAAGATTAGAGGTTAACAAGTTAAAAAAAAAACTTTTCTCTGATATCAACTGGTCATTATTTAAGGAAAAACAAAACATAAGGTAAACACTATAAAGTTGGCTCCCTAGTAGAAACTCACTGATTTTTACTTAGTCTTTTTGAACAACCAGCTTATTTTATTTAGTGATTTTAGAGAGAGAAAGAGAGACAGAGAGAGAGAGAGAGAGAGAGAGAGAGAGAGAGAGAGAGAGAGAGAATTTGTTGTTCTACTTATTTATGCATTCACTGTTTGATTCTTGTATGTGCTCTGATTGAGAATTCAACCCGAAATTTCGGCATATTGAAACCATGCTCTCACCAACTGAACTGCCTGGCCAGGGCGAGCAACCAACTTATCAAGGTTACCTCTAAAATTGCAAAAAGGAAGATATTTACTTTGAATAATTATGGGGGGAAATGGTCTTTTGTTTTACTATTTGACGTGCTATATAGTAAGCAGTTCTACCTTATCTGTGGTTTTGCTTCCCCCAGCTGCAGAATTACCCATAGACAACTGCGGCCTGAAAATTTCAAAAATGAACAACTCCTAAGTTTTAAATTGCCACAGTTCTGAGTAGGGTGCTGTCCTGCTCCATCCTGCCTGGGATATGAATCATCCCTTTGGCCAGCATCTCCTCACCTTAGACACTTCATGCCTGTGAGCCACCTAGGAACCATGTCGATTACCAGATGGCAGTTGTGGTGCCGCCATGTGCCTGACGCTACCTTCCAATGCCTGTCATTCTCCTCCCTTCATCTCCTCATGTAGGCACTGTATCATTTCACATCATCACAAGAAGGCTGAACACAGTATACAGTACACGGTAGTTTGCGAGACCACATCCACATAACGTTTATCACATTATATTGTTATAATTGTTCTATTTTATTATAGTTATTGTGGTAAATATCATATCAAGCCTAGTTTATTAAGATTTTCCATAGATACCTATATGAAGGAAAATACAGTGTATATTTGAGCCTTGAACAACATGGGTCCACTCATACTCAGATTTTTAAAGACTTGTACTGCCTTCAACCCCCAGCTGGGAGTCCACGGAGGTCCCACATCCAATCCTCCGCATCCCAAGGAACAATTTAAGATTTGGGGGCGTCAAAAGTTATAGGTGGATTTTCAACTACGTGAGGGGGTCAGTGCCCCTAACCCTATCATTGTTCAAGGATCAACCGTATAGGGTTCAGACATCTACTATGTTTTTTTTTGCTCAGTATTAAATCAGTCCTGTTCACTTAAATCACTGCTATTCCTGCTGCTATATTGGGAGGTAGGGGAAAAACGAAACACATCCCCCCCTATCTGAAACAGAAAAAAAAAAAAAAAACCGCAAAGAGCTTCCTTTGCTCCAGGGACAGGGCAGGAAGAAGTTAGATTTATTTGGTTGGGGATTTCCTACCATATCTTCTCCCCATCACATTGGGGGTGGGAGGGTGGAGGGAGGAGAGAGGAAATTAAGACAAAACTTCTTTGATAGAAGGCTTTTCTCTCCAAACACTTCTCTCTCTAAGGATCTTGTAGCATCATGGAAAGGTGTGTGGCCAAGGATAGCTGATGATTCACTCAGCTTCACTCCCCACTTCGGGTGGGTTTCCAAACACTGTAAGGAAATGGTTTCTGCCAATAGCCAAATCCTGAGGGACTCCATTCGTGGGTGGAGGAATCATTAGCCCAAGGTCATTATTTTATTCTGCAAACCAGTGAGAGTGCCTTTAAAAGAAAGTTCCCTTCATAACAATAATAATAACAGAAGGTTTTGTGTCTTGCCTAGACTTGTGGTTCTGATACAGAATTCTTCCTGCCTGGTTGGCATGGCTCAGTGATATAGTCACCTTCATATTTAACATAGTTTTCAAGTGACAGAAACAAGAGTTTTTACCTTTGGAAGTGGGTTTGGAGATATTCCCATTGTGGTCTTGGTTGTTTGTTTTCATTGGACTGTGTGTTTCAGTCTCTTCTGGACACAAGTAAACCTCAATGGGCCCTTGAGTACTTGCCAAGTGTATTTGCAGGCTCTATGAACAGAAAAGAGTGAGAAAGGTTCAAAATGAAAGTTCTTTGGAAATGAAAGCAATAGCTATTTTCATCTAAACATGTAAGATAAGGGTAGTTTTCTTAGTTCATTTTGCTTTGTCATAGCTACTCTACCTTTAACCAGTGATTGCCATCCCCAGAGGACAGGTCAGCAAACTATAGCCCAAGACCCAATCCAGTCCAACTGATTTTGTGAAGCGTGTTACTGGCACAGCGTCACGCCTATTCCCATTACTGATGCATGGCCTCTGGCTAGGTGGTGTTTTTTTCTCACACACAGAGTTGGGCGGTGAGCAGTCCCAACAGAGACTGTATGGCTCACAAAGCCAAAAATATTTACTGTCTGGCCCTTTAAAGAAAAAATTTGCTGACCCCTGCTCCGGAGAAGGTGAATTATGCTCTCTAAATATATATATTTTTAAAAAGCAACACACAAACTATTAAAGGGTGCTTTTAGTGTTTCAAATACAATATTTCCATGTTATTATTCCTTTATGGCAGGGCTTTTTTAATATTGAACTTTAATAACCACTGGAACTGAGTTTAATAAGAAAATGCAGCACACTAATATTTAAAATTCCTCTTCATCTAGGTCATAGAGCTATTATTATCACTTAAGGTGAGAACTCTACCCTAGATGAGAGCTTGCAAATTTCATTCTCTTTTTACTTTCTATGCATATTCTTTTTACTACATTTCTTTACCTTGGAGTTATAGTCTGGGCCTATTATTAAACTATATCTGAAACCAATCACAAAAATACGCACCCTACTTTCTTACAAAAGTCCCATTTCATCTCTTTAAAGTAAACAGGATACAAATGATAAATTCTTAAATGTGCTAAGATAAGTCAGAGAGATACTTTATAGAATTTCTATCTCTTTTTGTAGTGGGAACTATATTTAGAGCAATCAACATAAAATTCTCCAAAATCTTAAATTGATTGGAAACATCAAATTATGAAAAAAAGAAAGAACAAGAGGGACAGGACATCGTATACCACCTTGAGCTGAGTGCTCTGCTTTGTTAAAATTAGATTTTTTGGACACTCAATATATATTGAACCGTTGAAATATTTTTAAAGTTAGTGTTAAGTAAAATAGATGGGGAAAGAACTTTCTAGTTTTCAGGAGAATATGAACTTTAACCATGAATCAATGATTCTTTAACTTTAGGCATTCTAGAAAGATATCTGCAGATGAACAAAGATGTCTCCTTACCTCTATTGGGTCAGGCACTTCAAGTCTTGTTTCTGGAGGGGCTTTCACAACTATAACAGTTTGGTCTTTAAGGCCACTAATTTTTCGAATATCTTGATATGTAGCATAAGCTAACGTAATAAGTGTTAAGGAAATCTTTCAACTAATTGTCTCAGATGTAACCATTATGAGATTAACAAAATAGACGTGTGGAAAATTTTGAAGGATTTTGTGATTTATAAGAATATATCTGTCTTGCTTTCTAGATCTTTAAATATATGGGATCTTCCACAAATCTTTTTTCTGGGTGATATCTTAAACAAAATAAATGCATACCTTTTTCCTGCCTGTTTTTAAAAAGCCCATGGCTATTTGAAATATTAAAATAAACATAGAAACAGCATAGTTAATTTATTAAAAGAAAACCAAGACCCAGCTGCGGCAGTTCAGTGGTTGAGCATCAGCCTATGAAACCAGGAAGTCATCATGGTTCGATTCCCACTCAGGCCATATGCCCAGGTAGCAGCTAATCAATGATTCTCTCTCATCACCTATTTTCTATCTATCTCTCCCTCTTCCTTCCTCACTGAAATCAATAAAAACATTTAAAAATAAAAAATAAAAACATTAAAAAAAAAATAAAAGAAAGAAAGCCAAGACCCATTTGGTCCAGGATTTTCAAACCAGGTTCCTCTGGAATGCAAATATTCCCTGAGTTTCCATGAAGTATGCTATCATCCAAATCGAATGACGGCAGATTCCAATTTACAGGGAAAAAATTTAAGCTCTATTAAACATAATTTTTTGTAACTTCCAATAACTTCTATCTTTTATTTGACTATTAGCAAGTGTCAGCAGTCACTCAAATGCATGAATGAATGAATTAGTAGCAAATATCAATAGATATATTAGTGGAAGAACTCAGAATACTGCAGAAGCAGGCAACATATTTTCTTAAGTGTGCCTGGGCTGGTTGTGATTATATATTAAGAGCGCCAGTCCTTCTCAGTTAGAAAAATTACTTTATATGATATTATTAACTCTACCAATATTTCAGTGTTCACTAGGAAGAAAGTGGCTTCTAGATGGTCTGCAACCTGAATGAATATGAGAAACACTGATTTAGAAAAAGAGATTAAAATAATATTTCAGTACTCTAGGTTGTTACTTCTGAGCACTGAACAGTTTCTTTAAGGGCCTGGGCAGCCAAACCTATAAGGATGTCATGAAAGAATATGGTACTTTTTATACGATAAAAGTATCCATGCAAGCTTGCCTAGATAGACAAGCTTTTTACTTGGCACTAAGAGAGAACATGGCTTTCTTATAAAGGGACATGCAGTAACATAATGTACAATGTCTTTAGCCAGCATTTAAAAAATAATAACCCACCAAAAAATGCACATAATAAAACAGCAAATCATAATTCAATGAAGGCATTTCTATGGGTAATATAATATAGCTAATAGAGTCTGTGATCTAACATGTTTAACACAGAAACAGGACTTAGTGAACCTAGAGAAAATAATATCCCTTAGAATAGTAGCTTTTTATTAGAATTGAAGGAAGCTATGAATCCATTCATCGGGAAAAAAAGCACATCCACCCCAATCTGCACATACATTTAGGGGCATTTGTCAAGACGACCTTCTTTAAATCTCAATAATTGAGACAACAGCCAATTCAGAGTTGAGCTTAATTGGACAGCTCAAGCAGGATTCCGGGTTTTAGGTCACCATTTATCTCCTCAGGAAAGACCACTGGTACCGTTATAAAGTCCTGACATGCCTGCCTGGATGGCTCAGTTTATTGGAGCATCGTCCAGTATACCAAAAGGTTGCAGGTTTGATTCCTGGTCAAGGTATATGAGGGAGGCAACGGGTCCATGTTTCTCAGAACAATGTGTGTGTGTCTTTCTAACAAAAGAAACATATCCTCAGGTAAGGATTAAAAAAAAAGAAAAAGAAAAAGTCTTAGAACAGCTCTGAATTTTTACTGAGAACACTGGGAAAACTGATAACCAGGTACTTACACCATAGCCCGCTGTCAAAAAACTACGTGACAAGAACTCAGTAAAATAAAAACTCATCTACAATTACTCAACATGCTGCAGGAAAGAAAATTTCAACACATCTGTGAACAAGCTGTACCAAATTTGGAACTGAATGGCAAATGGAAATAATGGTGCAAACATAGTCTCTAATCTTATAAATTTAAAAGTGCTTCCACTGTGGCTCCCTCCTGAATTTGCTTCTTGGGTTAGCAGCCCCCTGCAAGGAAGCTTTCATTCCCTGCAACAAAGGCTGCAGAGAAAGCTAATGGAGGTGACAATGCCATCAAGTACAAGCTGCCCATCATGGGAAACCGCCATATCTCCTCGCTGGGGCTCCCAACTACACAATGAGTGAAACAGTCCAACGACAGCCATTCTTGTTTCTTCCCTGTAAGCCCACTTTGGCCACAATTAGGGGTTCATATCAGCACAACTTTCTCCCTCTCACTAATCATCAGCTGACAAGGTTAATCTTTTGGTCAAAAAGGAATTTGCTGTTTCAAAAAAAACAAACAAAAACGACCTGAACTGGAAAGTAAATGTTTTCACGCCCTCCAAGGGAAAGCCTGTTGGAGAGGAGACACCAGAAGAAAGTGGGCAGGAAACACTTTCTTCCCTGTCTCACAAAGGTAAATGTGGAATAATCAAAGTCTGGAATTAAAATTAGAGATGGGGTAATTTAAAATATTGCATTTGCCGTCCACTAATAACTGAGCATGTTGCAAAATCTTTTTGCCAAAACAACAAAGCCATTTCCCCAATCTTTTGTCTGAAGTGAGATGATGAACAGTAAGCTGTACTGAGATGGTCACCAGACTGTTAGCCTACAGAGAAGAGGATGTGGCTTTCTATATTTTTATTTCCAAGAACTTACTGTTTACAGATGAACAAATATACTGAGATTTGTTGGGCCTTGTGGTTCTTTTGAAATCAGTTTTTGATGTTGTGAATCAGCTTAATGCTTTTTAAAACGTATAGAATAGTGTGTTTTTTTTATATTCAATTCCTTCAGTTATGTATCTCAATCAGACAGATTTAACATATTCAATTGCTCCAATAGCTGATGAAAAGAAATGTAGAATGTGAGAACCACAACAGTGACAGCTAACACCCACCCAAAATCTGGGAAGCCAAAGATGAATCTGTGGAATGTTGTCCTTAATATTAATACTGACACCATTTGTATCTTATAATAGTGTTGCCTTATGCAATGAATGTACCATATGTGTCAACCACACATGAATTTAAAAAGTTCCCTCCTTGCTGTAAACTAGACATAATAGATGATTATCTTTCCATAACTACTGACTTCTAATACAAAGTGGGTTCACACACACACACACACACACACACACACACATGCCTCACACATGTGCATAAAACCAAAGTAAAAGTCTACCTTGTGCATAAAAGTCAGATTGTCAACCCTGGAAATAGTTTAGAAAGCACTAACCCCCCATGACCAGGTGGCACAAAGGATATCTTTGATTCTCTGAATCCTCGGTTAACAGTTTGAGGTCCAGGGTGCAGCTTTGGATCAGTTCATCTAATTTCTTCTCTTCCTGACTGAGCTCGGTCACTTCCTTTGACAGGCCTTGACACTGGGCCAGCATGCCCCCATCCTCAGACAGACTGCAGCCCCTAGAAACCCAAACAGACTCTTCATGGCTACTCGAGAGGCCAACGGGAGCAGGGAAGTGAACAAACAAGGGCGGGCAGGGAGAAATGATACCTAGGGGAGATATCCCTTTCTTGACATAGGAGATCCCAGGGATTGTTTGCTAAGTGTTAAAATTAGAACATTTATACATACATATATTTATACATATAGTCCTTCACTTTTCATATCATAGAAATTAAGTGAAAAACCACTAGTATTTCAGATTTCTTTCCTACAGAGGAGGCCTGTGTCTGCAGAAGGCTCAAATTCATAGGCAAAGAGGCAGCTCCTTTCTGCCACATGCCTCCCAGGGGTGGAAAGCAGGTAGGAAAACACAGAAAGATAGAAAAATTGGAAAGAAAATATAGAATGATTCAAATTCAACAAAACATCATCCAACAAGCACAAAAGGCCTAAGTAATTTATGGGAGTCTTATGACAACAACTGAAAAGGAAAAGCAGGTTAAGGAAACAGATGTACGTGCTGCTTGGAAGAACATAGACCAACAAGTTTCTCTAAACCACAGACCAAAATGGATTAATCCAATTGTCAAAATTCCAAAAAGAGTACAAAAAGTTACCTGTTCAACTTATCATGTTTGAAGTAGTATTTTTTCAAGCCCCATAATGGATTTATTCCTTCCAATATGCTTTAATAGCTGCTTCTAAAATACTGGCTATTCAGGTGCTCTGTTCATAATTCACAAATTTAATCACATATGTGGGTATATAGGTGATATGCATTACCATCTCTACTTTCTAGAAGGAACTGAGACATTTGACACTTGCTTTAATTTATTCAGAAAGTGAGTTAATCTGCTCTGAGAACCATGGTTAAAAATATTGGGTGACTGTGTGTATACAGAGATGTGTTAATACACATCCATAGTTAATTTCCAAATTCCTGTTGGAGTTAAGACATGTGCAAGCATTTATGAGATTACACACATGGTCTTCACCGTATTAAATGAACAGCATTCTACTTTACACCTGTAGGACCCTAATTTATCTTAGGATCCCCTTGCTTGTAGCTAATGGAACAGAAACCCCTTTTTGTTGTTGTTATCTCTGACAGTATCTAAATAGGTCTCTTCCTAAAGAGACTTGGAACTTGTGGCTAAGGAGTTGAGAAAGGAGAGAGAGGTGAGAGAAGAAGAGAGTAGGAGAGCAAAACATTTTCATGAATGTGAAAGGATGGAGAGGGAGCTCAATGTTTGAACAGACCCCCATCAGAGCCAGGGAATGGGGTGGGGGTGCGACTCATACTCACATCCATTGCACGTTGTTTTTAGACTTCTTCTTAATGAGGTGGATGCCTTCCAGTACATTGGTGATATCATAAATCCTTCTCTTTTGCACTTTCAGCACCTCTGCTGCCTTGTTCAAATCCAAGACCCCATCAGGTGACTGGCTCAGTAGCTGAATGAACTTCTTGGTGAGCAGACCAAGTGATGTATCATACCGTGTTTTTTCTGAGGGAGATTTTGGAGCTTAAAGAAAAACAAAAACCCGAGCGGGTGGGGGGTAGGGGGAAAGGTAAAGAAATGAGGGGTTTCTTTGCAGCTGAGCAAGCCCCCTCTCCCAATGCAGCCCAAGTATTAGTATCAGAAGCAAAGCTGTTTCTGTGCAGTTACAGAGAAAGCTACGAAACTGCTTTATTAGAAAAGGAAAGGTCAGTTAAAATTCCTGTTTGTGAATTTCTCAGTGGTTTGTACTTTGGTTCATCCTATTCCCTGAAACTAGTAAAGTATCTCACACACAGTAGGTGTTCAAAAACATCTGATGACTGAATGAAAAAGTACGGTAGCCCCATGGGATCAGCACACGTGGAGTCTAACCCCATGGGGACAAGTGATGAATCCCCCCAGCATTTCATGCCGGGCTCAGACAGACCCACTTCAACTGGCCTTCCAGGCTCCAGGGTTGTGTGTGTATGTAACTTGTTCACCAACGTATCAAATGATGCTTCATTTAGATGAGTTTTTCAATCAAGTCTCCCTATCCCACTTGAATAAAATTTCTTTATTTAATATTGTACCTATTCTCTTATAGGTCACAGGTCAAGGATTTAATGGAGCAGTACACACAGCCTGTGGATTTTGTAATTCATAAACTACAGGAAAGGTGAGAACAAAGTCTAACGAGGCCAGAGCCATAAAGGACTAGCTAGCCATCTCCGACCTACTTTCCTCTCTCCCAGAAGAAAACGATCAAATCCATTGAAAGGGAAACTAGCAGCAATTCATTGGACTCAACCAATTCTTATGCTGAGCTAGAGATTTAGACCGACACACATTTGCGACTCCAGCACAGTTCGTCTACACTCACTTAGCCTCGGTCTCAGAAATAATGTGCGCTAAAGAAAGTTAAAATTAATTTGATTATAAAACGGAACAAGGAGCTTATCTTCTGAGTTGAAAAATGAAACTGCACACATTTCAAGAGGCCTCCCTTAAGTCAGTACGTAGGCACTGGAGTGACTCGGTAAACCTTTAGCTGGGTGTCTGCAGACACTGTATTTACTTTTTGGATAGGCACAGAAAGAAATGACAAAGAACAAAACATGGCAGAGTTATTCACACCTTGGCATCCTTCCAGCCGCAAGCTTTGAAAGTTGGGAGCCCACACCACAGAGAATCAGTGATGAAAGAATCCTTACTTTTGGGACTGTCTGGACTTCGCAGTGCAGCTCTCCCTTTGCCCTTTGGGGTTTTTAAACCATCCGAGAGGTACTGATGACCGCTTTCTCCTAGCTCCAGCCTTCGCTTGGCCTGGAATAAGAAAGTACAATCATTCGTCCCGGTCACATGGACAGTCACAAGCGAGGCTGTGTGGGATCTGGCCCCTGCCCAGTGCTGCAGCCTCATGCCTGCTCTCACACCTTGGCTCCGCTCGCTCAGGGTCTCGCCATTCCCCAAGCTCTCTCTCCATCTGCAATGATCAGCTGTATACACTCAGATGGACAAATCCAGCAACCCTTTAGGATTAGATCCAGAAGCCACGTTGTTCATTTATTCATCGATTCAACACATGTGCCAGGCATGAGGCTAGATACTGAGAATCCAGCAGGCACCATGGGACTGAAATTAACTTTCCCCCATGAGCCTTTGTTGCCCCTCTCCATCTCTGAGCTGGGCTGAACCCCCTTCGTCCGTGGTGCTTCCCCAAACGGCCTGTGTTTATTTGTATCATAACACTTATTAGATAGAAGACTTATTTTACTAATCTGTTTCTCATTTCCTTCCAGGCAAGGACTGTTTCCCATTTATCTTTGTATATACCTAGTGCTCAGCACAGAGCCTGGGTTTCTGTAGGTCTTCAATCACTAAGTGACGGTGGTAACACAACTCGTCACAGATTACAGATGGTCATTCGTCACAATAACAAATATTGCAAATACTCCATCTTGGGCTTCAACTAGTATTATTTCCACCATTTAGTCACCAAACTTGGCATTTAAATGAGAAGTACTCACAAAAGTTTTAAATTTATTTTCATGTCACTTTAAAATTATCCACTTAGTGTCTTCTATGTACTGGGCACCGGGCTTAGGGAACAGAGGTAAGGAAGATACATGAGGCCTTGCCTACCTAAGGCACAGAGTCCACAAGAGAAGACAGAGAATTAAAGAAATGATTGTTGAGTACTAACTGTATGGGCGTGATGGGTGTTTCAGACAAAAGTAACACCAACAAGACACTATACACGGCAAAGTGTATTTAGGTTTATTTTAGGGCTGGTTCTCCTAATGAGTGGTTCACAATAACTTCCCATGACACAGAAATGGAAATAATAATTTATCAACTGATGATAAATATTCAGCTTCTCTATGAAAGTTGTCAGCAGTTTGTGTTGTTCACTACAGTAAGCAACTAGCCACACGTGACTCAGTTATTAACACCAAAAGGTCACTGGTTCAATTCCCAGTCAGGGTGCACACTTGGGTTGCAGGTTTCATCCCTAGTAGGGGGGGTGCAGGAGGTAGCAATCAGTGTTTCCCCCTTTCCCTCTTTAAAAAAAAAAAAAAAAAAAAAAAAAACAATAAAAACATATCTTTAAAAAAACTGGGGGAAAAATAAAATGCTCACTGGATTTTGAAGACAGTACAAAAAAGGGGTAAAATATCTTAATAATTTTAAAACTGATTTAAAAAATGTACAATAGTATTTTGACTTTATAAAATAAGATATAAATAAAGTTATTATTTTACCTCTTTCCCTCTCTATTTTTTTTTACTATGTGGCTTAGATTACCTTACTATTGGCAAAACATTACTGTAAAGGCCTGCTAGTAAGAATGAAAATTCACAAATTTTTTTCAAATTCATTTCCCCCTCCCAAATACTGTCCAATCCTGTGTGTGCTTGTTGTTATGTTTGGCCCAGGAAAATTCCCTCTTCAACAGGCAAATGCCCCGATTGTTCTTCGGGGAGTTCCCCTTCCCAGCCTCAGTGCACACAGGTCTGTCTGGTCAGTCACTGTGGTCCGTTCTCCCTTCCCTCTTCCCTTTACCCACAGTGGCTGGTTAAGGCGGCACGTGACCAAAGCCAAGTCCAGGCCTTGTTCTGGAACTACTGGCAAGAAGGGGGGGATCTTCCCGGTCAAGTTGATAAGCTGGAAGCCAGGAGCTACCTGAGAATGGAAGCCCCACGGGGGAAAGCAGAGTGGAAAGATGGAGGCGAGGGGGCCCCACACTTTTCAGTTAATTAGTCAATCAAGGTGGCCTTTTTGCTTAAAGCACTTTGAGTTGAGAACCTGAAAGTGTGGTGTGGTAAGCAATAGCCTGTGGATTAGCTGAGTATGGTGGGGCTGGCAAGGCTGTTAGAGTGGCAGTTGTGCCCGTCACTTCATTGGAGGCTGGCTTACCTAAGAGGAGAGAAGAGCATTGCCATGGAGGCCATTTTTCTCTGTAGAAAGTAATCCAAGAGAGAGAGAGAGAGAGAGAGAGAGAGAGAGCGAGCCAAGTTCTCTGCCCATGCTAAAGTCCACAGAAGGGAGGCAAGTGGGAGCAGCATTTGGGGCCTGGAACTCTTGTGCCCCTAAGGCTGTATGCTCCTGAATCCTCACAATAGGGAACTAACTACCACTGGCCAGCGCTTTGGCAATATTACTTTTGCCAAAGGCCTATGGAAGCAGTAAAGTGTAGGCTAGAAACTGAGATGGAACCCTAGGAACCAGGACTACTCATGATGTATCCTGGTCACCAAGCACCGAATGTCAGAGTTCACCAAATCTAAATAACTAGACCGAAAAGTCTCCTTTATAAAAGCACTTGTATCGCCAGAGAATCTCTACATCTAGAGATTCTCAGCTTCCAAGACCATCAACCACCGAAGCCTATAAATCTATATAAAAAAATTCCAAACTTTGTTTGAGAGGGTAGAAATCAAGGTGGCCATATTGATTCCACAAGCAAGCCACATCTCCACCAAATCTCCAAGTGCCAGCATTTCCTGATGAGGACATGATGTGCTACAGGAGGCGACCACTGCGTGCTCCTTTTCTTTTCCAAATGGATGTTTCTTTGGCTTTCCTACCTGTCTCCCACTGTTCAGTGAGCAGGAGCTGAACGGGACTTGCGAGGACACACAGTACTTGCAGGTCCTAGATCAGAGGATGAGTGTAGTAACTGGATTCTTTGGGGAAAGGCTAAGAATTTTTACACATGCAGGAGTGGTATTATTTTAACTTAGCAAACTCAAGCACAAACACTTGCTGAGACAAATCAAAAACTAGGCAGGAGGATTTAAATAGTGCAGGTAGTCTCTGCCTACACCTCCCTGCCCTGGGCTGAGCACCAGGTCAGATTAAAATCTATTCTCCTTGGTCATCTTATTAAAAAAAAAAAAAAAGTTTATTGATTTCAGAGAGGGGGAGGGAGAGAGAAACATCAATGTGAGAGAGAGTCATAGATTGGTTGCCTCCCCTAGACCAGGGGTCAAACCAGCAACCTTTTGGTGTATGGGATGACATTCCAACCCACTAAGCTACACCAGCCAGGGCTCATCTCAAGTTTTGGTTGCTCTTAATGTGAACATCTTGCTGAACTGAGTTACCGTATTTTTCGGACCATAAGACGCACCGGACCATAAGACGCACCAGTTTTTAGAGAAGGGAAATGAAGAAAAAAAGATTCTGAAACAAATAGTGTCCTAAAATATTTTATGTGCATTAAAACCCAACATCACAGTCATAAACACATGTAATCAACCCTGTGAAGTAAACAGCAGCATTTAGAACCATTTTAGAGCCGGGCAAGCACACAGAGACCACACAGAGCCGGGCAAGTAAAAAAACTTTTTTTTTAAAGTATATGTGTAGGCTATATTTGGACCATAAGACACAGGGACTTTCCCCCCCCCACTTCTGGGGGGGAAAAAAGTGCGTCTTATGGTCCGAAAAATACGGTACTCAGTTTACAAACAGATTTTCATATTACATGCTCCCAACTAGTCAAGCAACTAATCTTTCTGGTGCTCCACAGAAGGCCCAGCCATTTGGTCTTGAGCAGGAGTCAAGGCTGGACATGAGAGATAATCTACATGGCACCTTCCTGGACCTCAGCTCCAACCAAGACCACCTTCCTCAGTAACGAATGATTGCACCGATAAGCCTTTCTGAAAACACAAATATGAAAATAACGGGTTAATGGTCAGGGGGCCAAGCTGTGGGCAACATCCCGCTTCTATCTGCCCGGCATTTGTTGCCCCTATTTTTGTTGTTGTTGGGGAAGGTTTCTATGTCTCCAAGCCTGAAAACAAAGGTTTACTATGACTCAACATCTTAAACTGACCCTTGCCATCAAGGTTACAAAGGTGAGGACTGTAATCTGGACCTACCAATCAGTGCATTCCAGTTCCTTAACTAGGTGACTAGCTTGGGGATGGGCCCATGAACAAAGTGGACGAATACATCAATCCTGGAATTTTTTTTTGAAAAGTACCAAGTTCTTCTCACTTGGAGCTATTAGGCAGAATGGTGTAAGTCTGGAGCTACCTGGCAAGTGAGCCAATAGAGAAGGAAGTAAAAAGCTGGAGAAAGGCTGAGCCCCAATACCTTTAAGGGAGGTGCAAGATACAGCCATGCCGAAAAGCATGCAGGTTTTCATTTCTGTGAGCCAACAAACTCCTTTTGTTAGAAGACCACTGAGTTAGATTCCTACCACTGGCCACCAAGAATCTGCATAGATATGGCTCTTTTATTAACTATAACACAATGAACATTTGAGTGCTTACAGTATTTCAGACACTATGTTAATTGCTTTCCAAAGGATTGTATTATCTCATTTTCACACAACCTCACAAGGTAGTTTCTATTATCTCCTCCTATTTTGCAAGAGAAAACTAAGGTTTAGAGTGTTTAATAACTTTTCTAAGACCCCACAGCTAGTAAGTATGCCTACACCAAAGTCCATGCTTATAGCCACTTTATAAAAATTATTGTAAAAAATTTCTATATAAAAATATTTGAGCTCAGCCTATGAAGCTCAGTGGCTGAAGGTCAACCCATGAACCAGGTCTCAGCTTGGTTCCCAGTCAGGGCACATGCCGTACAACCGGTACTTATGACGTGCACTGACCACCAGAGGGCAGACACTCAACACACAGGCATGAACAGACTGATGAATCTCAGGGAGAAGGGGGAGGAAAAGATTAACCAAAGATCTTATATGCATAAATCCATGCACCAGTGGGGTCCCTAGGCTTGGCCGGAGGGGATCGGGCCAATTCCATGCACTGGGCCTCTGACATCCCCCGAAGGATGCCGGATTG